ATCGAAACCCGGATTCTAGCGTTGTAAGTCCGCACACATACCGCCGTGCCACTGGGGGGCTTACATTAGGAGCTTTGTTTTTCAAGTTTAAATCGTCCGAATGGATAAGCTACTGTTTTTTATATGAACCGTGGAAAAATTATTAAAAAATAACATTTTATTGTTAATGAACAATGAACATTAAAATAATTATTGTATGGATAAAGTAATAAATCCATTGTATTATAAATAAAGGTGATAAAAGAGTTATTGCCCTAAAGGCACTTTACTTGATTCTGGAATGAAAATGAGAAGGTCAGAAGAGCATATTTTCTAAAAGTACTGAATTTGTACATACTCCATCAAACATCGTGTAGTTATACATTCGCGTACGGCATGAGCTACACCTAAATACTTACCTTGAATCGCAGATCATTTACAGGTGGCTTAGCAAAAGGAATCCCCTTGAAGGCGTAAATGGTTTTCCCGCTCATCGTCTCCCTGGGCAACCTTTTTCCACGTATGTATCCTTTTGTCGTATGTATTATGTGTTCCAAAGCATCATGCATTTGATGACTGTTGTTTGGAGCAGGTTGAGCAGGGAAACAAAAAATCAGCATTCCAAACGAAATCAGAATGACATATATGGGTTGCATTTTGAAGATAATTAGAATTATTATTGTACTCTTAACTATTAGAAATGAAAGATGTTTTTTTCAGCGAAAAATAAATAAAGAACTCACGTGTATCAAGCGTTTCACATTTTATATTAAAAGTTAAGCTATACGCAGCTACCAGTTTCTTATCTCTGAAGCTCCGTCTTCTGCTGGTTTTTTGTTGAAAACGACCCCGATGATAGTTTTAGTCAAGAGATCAGATCACATGACGTCTAAGAATCAAAGAACGTTCAGCAAATGGCATGTTTACTGTATAATTGAAACACTCAGAAACAGTGCTCATCAACCATCGTTTTCAGTAGTTGTATAAAACCAGAATTCCATTAAATAACGTATTGAATGTATCTATACCGCCTATCTATAATTCATTAGTCTAATAATTTAATTTGTGTTCCTAACATGTGGCAAGTAACTTTAAAATAATCAGCACTGTGGCTGAAAGAAATGCAGTAATTCAAAAACAATGTTACACAGAAGCCTTTCCCTACGACGAGGGAGTTAACACGTATATATTTTTACTTACCTTGTCAACGATCAACTGTTTTGTATTTGCCTTATCGACCTAAAAGGTTGTGAGAAATAGTTTCGATTAGCCTCAAAGGTAATAATATGATCCACATATTTTAAACCCACCTTTCTTAACTATTTATGCATTAATTTTTTTGTAAGCTATGAATTTGTGATTACAGAATCCTAATAACATACGAGTCGCACAAAAATATAAAGAAAATCACCGAAAATATTGCAATTAATTCCAGTAATTTCTGCTAGGGTTCCAATGTAAATTTTTGGACAATTCTTTACAATGAGTGCTGTACAGGTAAAAAGTACTTAATAAGATGTAATATTTAGACACCGTCGATGTATGTAAAAAAGTCGGTAATTTTAAGTTTTTTGTGTTGTTGATTTTTCATTTAGCAGGGGTGTAGGACGTTTTTAAATTGACGACTATCAAGATTATCATTTAACAACACAATGGGAAAGTTAATTAAATACTTATTTGTTTAACAGACTTGTATTTTCAAGATTATCATTTAACAACACAATGGGAAAGTTAATTAAATACTTATTTGTTTAACAGACTTGTATTTTCAAGATTATCATTGAACAACACAATGGTAA